GGGGGGGGAGGGGTAAGAGCCACTAAATCTCGGTTATGGAGACTCTCCCAACAGGTAAGTTCTTGGTGGAGGTCCTTCGGCAAAAGGGCCCTGGGAAACTGGAGGCCCCCCTCAGCCCGCTGCCAGGTCTGTGGGGACAACATCCCCCCGGGATCTGCAACTTGTAGTCCTGGTGACCCCAGCGAGCTAGTGAAATGCCCGTGTAGCCGCCTCCCCACCCCGGGGACCATCCCTTTCTTGTCCTGAGTGAGGACCGACTGTAATGGTGTTGGCGCATTAGCAGCAGCTGGCATGTGGGTCCTTGAAGAGCAGAGAGCGTTTGTTGGATGAATGACTTTTACTGAGCATAGGGGGAGAGAAGCAGCGGGAAGCAAGAACCAGGAATCCTGGGCCAGGGGATAAAATCCTGCGACTCTCCTGTTCCCTCCCCTGCGGCCAGCTCCGCAGGCCTGTCCCAGTAGCCACATGCTGCCACGTGTACATCTGGAGGAAGGGAAAAACACGGGCAGAAACTCAACGAGATCGGAAACAGCCGTTAAGAACATCATGGGTGGGGCCAAGCTGGGGAGAGCTGGGGCCAGCGGGTGGCTGCAGGAGCCAGAAAGGAAGGAGGGATTTCCATGACATGAGTCAGGAGGGCACGGAGCTAAGCCAGCGTGGCTGGGAGCAGCTGGTCTGCAAACCCAGGAAGACGGGAGCCTGGGTGGCCAGCAACAAGGCTTGGGGTTGCAGCTCAGGGTCCAGGTGAGGTGTGAGGTCGCCTGCAGGTGGTGGCGTGGACAGGAGGAAGTAATAATTGGGGTGCAGGCACATGGAGGAAACAGGGGACCCTCTTCAGGGGAGCAGCAGTGTTGGTGGTGGTGGGGTTGCTGGTGGCTGACCTGCATCTGGCTGACTGCTCTTCACCACTGCGGGGAATGAGTTGATGCCGCAAACTCAGATGTACACAGAATAGAACTTGCTTTATTTCTCCATGACTAAGCTTAATTTCCATTCTGCTGAAGTTGAAGAAATGTGACTTTGGCCAGCTGGGGTTCTTCTCTTACCACATTTCCTGGGGGGCTGCATCTAAGTGCCACATCCCGGCAGCGGGAGGGGTCACCTGGCAGTGCATGTCCAAAGGACATCCATCTGCTGAGGTGTCAATATCCCCTCTGCTCCAGGCTCCTGGTTCCGCCTACATACATACCTGCCGAACTACGCCCATTCCTGCAGAGTCTCCTGGGTCCTCATTCCTCTTGGGA